TTTTCTAAAAGCAAGTGTTTTGCACCCTGCTTGGGAGAAGGTGTGTAGCTTAAGCCCTGTGACAAAGAACTATTGGACACAATGGGACCAGTTGAAGCTTGAACATGGTATTCTTGTCCGGAGATGGGAAACTGCAGATGGGAAAGTGACTACCTGGCAAACAGTTATACCGAGAATGTTATGGGAAATTGTGCTGCGTCAATTCCATGATAGTTTAACAGGAGGAAATTATAGAGTTAAGAAGACATTGAGTCACCTACGGCAGAGATTTTAATGGATAGGTATGAGATAAGATGTGGAAGAATGGTGCAGGACCTGCAGTACATGTTGTGTTAAAAGGGGACCCAAGCATAAGGGATGTGCTCCAATGAAGTTATATCAAACTCGTGCTGGAAACAAGTACATTTGTGTGGTGATGGATTATTTCACTAAGTGGCCTGTGGCATATACAATACCAAATCAGGAAGCTACAAATGTAGCTTCGGCTATTAGTGATTTCTTTTTCAGGTTTGGTATGCCATACAAACTGCATTCTGATCAAGGCCGTAAGTTTGAATCAGCTGTGTTCCATAAATGCTGCAAGTTGTTTGGCAAACGAAAGACCAGGACAACACCACTTCACCCACGGTCTGAGGGGATGGTAGAAAAGTACAATTGGACACTGGGACAGGAATTGACAAAGTTTTGTAATAGTCGCCAAAATGACTGGGATGTCTTACTCCCTTCACTGTTGATGGCCTATAGAACAGCAGATCATGAAGCCGCTGGATATACTACAGCAAAGCTAATGTTTGGTCAGGTACTTTGGATGCCAGTGGACCTGATAACAGGATGCCCACCTTACGAAGAGTTGCCTGAAAATGTGCCAGAGTTCGTAAAAGTGTTATCTGAAAGGATGAATGATATTCATCATCAAGTGCGATTGAACTTAAAAACGTCTGCTGATTCCCTGAAGCTATGTTATGATAAGAAATCTACTGAAGTCAGCTTTGTACCAAGAGACGAGATGTGGTTGTATAATCCCAGGAAGACCAAAGGGAAGGCCCATATGACATTGTGGATCATCTCTCAGAAGTGACTTTACGAATAAAATGTGGTTGATGAGGTAAGCCATAGGTGGTGCATGCCAACAGGCTTTGGCGTTATCATGGTCTAGGACATTTCAGTTGGAACAAAATGAACAACATAACAAGTGACGCTGCTGAAGACGTGTCACCTGAAAAAGCCACAGTTGAAGAAGAAACTCGACCCAGTTTTGAGAAGGAAAACAGTGAAGCCGTTAATGAAGTTACTACCATTGATGTGACTGCTACCGATAATGGGACATTTCCTGATGGAGCAGAAGAATCCCACGTAAAGCGGAAGCCAATAAGACGGAGACCAGTACAAAAGAAGAAACGTCTTGTAAAATTAAGAGACTATGTTGTATTTTAATTTTGTGTTTGTAAATTCTATACATTTAATTAAGCTATTGTTAATAATCTGTTGGTTTAATGTAAGTGGCTATTGTTCGGGACAAACAATACTAAGGAAGAGGCAGTGTTATGACAGCGGAAGTCACATGACGCTGCTAGCACATGTGTGACTGAGTTTCATGAATTATCTGGGAAGCTTGAGTGTGATCAAGATGCCTCTTTGTTAGTATATCAGCCTGGCAGAGAAAAGCTGAGGAATAGTTAAGTGAACAGTAGTCATGGTGAGTTTCGGGTAATTTACGATTCTGTTTTGAGTTAGTGTGTGTTTTGCACTCGTAGAGAGCGAAGTTATCAAGATTGTGAATCGCTGTGATTTATAGCATGTATTATAAAAGTTGTTAAGTTTAAAGTGATGAGAAACATACTGACTGTAGAATTACTGTGTACTAAAAGTTTGTATCAAGAAAGAATAAACTGATTTAATCAAGAAAGGACTTGTATCGCTGAAGTTCCTCAGAAAGAATTTTTACTGGAAATTTACAAACAAGCAGATACATAACAATACCTACATTGATCAGTAATAAAAATATACCTAGTGATGAGCATAATTAATTATTTGTACTATTTAAACTGTCTCACTTATAATGATTAGAATGCATGGTTTCATGTACCCTTGCTGTTAACAATATTTTTGGCCATAAACCCAATAATGTCTCAAGGTTTGATTAGCCCAGGAGACTTAGGGTAGTCCTAAATCTGTATACTAAGCTAACAATGCAGAATAATTGATTTAATAAAAGGAAAATTAGTACAGTGTAGAATAATCATTAGAATGAAATTATAAAAATAAAGTAAGAACTACCACACTGTGGTGAAAATTATACTTGATTCATAGAGCTTAGTATATTTACATTAATCTTAGATCTGTAAACTAAGCTAACAGTAAATATTCCCTGAAAAGTTAATGTTGATGGGATTTAGACCCAAACTTTCTGGAAGACCTTGTTTATTCAGATCCATCGTTTATCATATTTCTAGTTCCCTGAGATCCAGACAGATTCAGTGCCTTTTCAACTGCTGTAGCTCAGCTCTAGATGTTTAGTGTATTGAAGTGAGTAGATTAAGTTTTGTCTGGGTTGTACATCTGGATTTTTGTAGTACTCTTGTGACATGCTATTGGTAATTTATGATTCTGTTCATCAGTTTTATCTGTTATTTAGTACCACATTAGACCATTTCTAGAGATCACTTACACTTATAATATCTTCATTAGGTGTTTTTGTGGATGCATGGAACATCTTCAGAAATTACTGTGTTCAAAATGTTTATGTTTGCCATATACTGTAAATCATGGATTCCCAAACTTTCTCGATACAACACCCCCTTCTCAGAACGTTCTGCGTTGTGGCTAAGCCCACCACCTAATGATACTTAATACCTTAACAGTATTGTGTGTTTTATGTATTTACTATAGCCCTTCTGACACATTCTTGTGGCCCAAGTTTGGAAACTCTGCTCTAATGGGCCAGCATTGGTGTCTTAAAGGAGATTACTGTTAGGTCCTGACTCTATGCAGCTACATTTGATCACAGATACTATTATTGCAAGACTGATTCTGTGGTGAAAATAGTTTTTAATCACTCTCAGAATCTCACTCTTGGCTCAATTGTTTAAAATTGTGAACTGCAATCTGCTGCTATTTTTATTTTATGTTTCCAAAGCATCTGGTTAGGTCCTTATACAGTATCTTATATAAATAAGTTAGAGACACACATTTCAAAGATGTGTATTTATCTATCCTTTTCTTACCTCATTTTAATTTACTGCCAAAACTATCAGTTATGTGTTTACTATATTTTGAGGGTGATGAATCTTGCTTTATGATAGTTTTTTGAGCAAAATAAGATTGCCTCATACGAGTAGATCTATTCCACATATGGAGATCACTTTCTCTGGAATCATTCATTATGTTCCTGAATACTAACTTTCTTTTGGCGTTTGGTTCCTTATGTTGCAAGAGAATATATGTATTTGTATGCCTTTCCTTCCGTATGACTTAGAAGCATTCTTCTCAAAGTTTGGGACTCCAGATATCTTACTGATGATATTATAATGTCCATTTCAGATATGAGTCTCTTTCTTATTCCAGCTTTGTGTGTATGAGAATGTTTTGCTCTTCCATTTGGGACCATTTTCCATGGTAATTACACTCCTCCATTTTCTACCTACACAGTTGTGCCTGCTTCTTCTTTCTAATTGGCTTTTGTGAAGTCTTTGTCTTACATCTCCAGTTTGTCCTGTTAAGTAATTATTCATATATTGGTGTTGTCTTCATTTTTTTGTATTATGTGACACATCTAAGCTCTGATTTTTCACTTTCCAAATTTTATAACATAAAAACTAGGTTGCTGCAGTTTCCAACCAATTAGACTACAGATAGGCACAAGAAAAAATCTGAAATTTGAACTTTCTTGTTTATCTATTTGCTGAGATACCAATAAATTTGTCAAACCCACCAGAGAAGCCATTCTCCCCGCTCTCCTTAACTTTGGAGATTGTTTGCTAATCACCTTTACTTAGTTGTTGGACATGTTTATGATGAATAGAAGGAGAAGATTTCCTGCAAAATAAATCTTAAAAGCTGTTGTATAGTTTTCTATCATAAACTATTAATCAGCAAAATTAATTGGTTTGTGGTGGTCATATTTTTCTGCTCCGGAAAATAAAGAAATTTTTTTATCCTATTTATAGCTTTCTTAAAAACTGGATGAATTATATTACTTTTGGGACATTCTGTTCTAGTAAATGATATATATGAATTGTGTTTTGGACACTTAAGTTTGTGAGGCTGAATGAGAATTAATGGAGAATGTTTTCAATTTTTACATGAATACAAACAAGCTTAAATAGGTATTAGTATTACAAATCTTCACTTTTATTTACATATTTTATTTAATTCTTAGTTTAGTATAAAAAACATAACAAAGACATTATAATTTGATGAGCTTGAGCATGTGTGTAACATGACACCTCACACAATTGTGTTCTGTTTTTATAAAAGGTACATGAAACAAATAACTGACAGTTATTGTGATTTTATGTTTTTTGACATGAGGGTAACTACTCCAGTTGGTGCAAGGTACAGCAATAAAGCCATAAAATTAAAAACATAACTGTTGATGAAAATTTCAGGTGATTTTGAACTTTCTGATGAAAACTGGAGTCAGTTCAGAGGAAAAAATGTATTATATATTTTATTTCATGCTTTTAAACTTTTAATTTTACTGTGCTTCTGTGTCTGTGGCTTGTGTATAAGTATACGTGTAGTGACCGTAAGGTGATGTACATTCGCAAAACAAAATACTACTTAAAAACTAGAGTCTCTGAATACTTAGGAGTATCTAATAGGGCCAGCCATCCATTACTTAAACCCGGCCACCCAGCTATTTTTTCATATGCTGAAACCATAGGTCACAACATTTCATGTAACGATTTTTCTAATATTATTACCTCAGGAGCTTCAGGTCTTGAACTCTGCAGGAAAAACTTATTCATAGCAAAAGACCACACAGTTCATAAAGACTTCCAAACATCATTAGACCTAAAATTGTTGTATGTAATTTCGTTTAGCACATAGCCATTTGTTAAGAATAGTTATAATTATAACTCGATGTCTCATGCATTGTAATTTTGATACTTTCCTAACATATTCTATAATCTGTATTTCCTGCCATCTATTGTTTTATAAGTATTTTAATTAAGTTAATTATTGCAGCCAATATAGCAATTGTTAATAAGTATAATTATAATAGCTTTTCCAGATTTCACTGAAGATGAAATAAGTGTATTCTAAAACATTTGAAGCTTTTGTAAAAAAGTTTTTGTCTTATCAACCGCCTTCATCTTTACAAATAGTTTTTGTTTTCCCCATCATGAATCCATTGCCAGTGTTTCTTTCTCAAGTTGATGCATCCCTGCAAGTTTTTTCATAGAAGCATAATGATGAACTTCTGAATAGATTCTGCTGAGTGTGTTTTACTTCAATAGATGATGTAGGAATAGAACACAAAAAATTATAGTGATTTTGCAGTTTATATGGTTAAAAATATTTATCCTAATTTAGAATGGCTTTTCTTTCATTTAATAGTATGAATTAATTAGTTCATATTTTAACATAAGGTACTCTAATAATTACATAATTTATCTGGTCCTAGTTATTCGGACATTTAGTATAAAGCATTTGGCTAGAGGGAAGCTTTGTACTATTGTATGACACATTCTGTCCTGGTACTTATTGAATAGGGTACTAATTACACACAGAAATAAAACAATAATAGCAAACGATAAAACAGATAATGCACATATGTGATATTCCACTGTTTAAAAATTTATAGGTATTTAGAAACAAGTATGGTACTTGAAAAGTAGTAGTAACATCATTGTGTTAGCTTAAATATTGCACAAACAGAAACTGTCAAAGATCCTTTTACATATTTAGTGCATTCTTACTGCTCTGAATTATCTTCTGTAATAAAATGAATTGTTAATTATCAATCTTAAACTTTTTGGGTAAGAGAATAGAAACATAATTTGTTTATAATGCATATTTGATTGTTTCTTAGTTGTGATTTGTGTAGTAACCTTTTCTCCTACTACCTAGGACTGCTGATGATTGGACAGGTGTTTTATGAATCTGTGTGATATTCTCATTTATTTACTACTAAGCTTATACATGATTGTAGATTTTTCATTAATTTTCTGATACGATACCTTACCTCCACTCACATAATAGCTTTTCTTGAATTGTAACACTCTCCTAGCATAGCTGACTTCATATGTACTGTAGATCACTATCGTCACTTCTTGATTTGGCATTACTATGTGCAGTCATGTTCAGTTTTTACTCTTTACTTAGATTTCTCATGTGCACATTCATTTCATTCCAATGTGTTTTGACAAGTCTTAGTTTGTTGTCATTTATTTGCTGTTTCATTAGTATTTATGAAATATTTTTATTTTTTCATTTCTACATAATGAACTCTCACTTTATTGTTAGTACAACAACTTCTGTTATGGATCTGGTGACTACTGATCCATCATCACTTACCAATTCTGTGGCTTTGAGCTTCACACTTTCTGCATGATGAGTTGGAAACTATTTTGTGGCTTGCTATTTCTCTAGAACCTTAGCCAGATCTTCCATTTCTGAGGGAATCTGGTCATAACGTAAGTGGATTTGGACAGCCTTTTCTATGTTGTACCATGCTACCCCTCTGGATTTCCACAATCCCTTTTTAACTGTTTTGGACATGATATTGTCTCTTAACCCTGTGTCTTATGATTTCTCCCCCTCCCCATCTTAATTCTGCACCATCATCAAATTATTTGGTTTTCCCCTTCTCCTGATATTCATGCACATGCCGAACAATTTCTTGTCAAATTACATTTGGGTGGCAGCATGCCTCAACCCCTACATTTGTGTGACTCCTATGCCTTTGCTTATCATAGGTCAGAATTTCCATTTTTAGATTCTCAGACTTTGGAAACTCTAATTCAGGCGAGGGGTTCCTACTAAGGTTTTCTGAGGCTATCCACCATTCCCCTGAAGGGGTTTTGGTGGATACATGTACTTTTCTCATTTCTAGTTTACACGCTTATATTCCTTTATACATGGCTCCTTTGTTGTTAGGATCTCCTTGGCAGGGATACTCTCTTGTCTCATGTGTGTCTACTTGCTTCTTATTTACAGGACCTCCATCTGGCCCCTTTTTATGATAGTCTGTTTTTGGGGTTCTTCCTGATACTTTGGAATCTCTGGTAGAGGCTACAGGTCAACATTCCTTCTTTTCTTCTCTTGTTTCACATTTTTCTGAAACAACCTTTCCTACCCCCTGTTCCCATGTCTCATTCCCCTGCATTTCTGTAGTTGGTCTATATGCAACGGTTTCTTACCTTCCTGACCTAGTATTTTATACTTTTTCAATTTCTTTACTTGGCTCTTTGACAATGGTTTATCAGTTTCTACAGTTGTGGGCTGTAGGGTGGTTTTGTCTAATACCTTTCATTTCTCCTTCTTTTGTTGCCCTTTTTCCTCTTCTATCCTTTCTCTTCTATTTCACTCCTTTCACCTGATTCATCTGCCTCATCTGATTCTTCCACATGATTGGAATCTCAGTGTGGTCCTTCATGCCCTTTTCCTTCCTCCCTTTGGCCACTTTGTCATTGTACCACCTCTCCCTTAAGATGTATTTCTTACTCCTTTTTGTATGTGGATGTCATAGGTCAAATATTATTGTTATCAACATCTCGCATATCTTCTATCACCATACCTTTTTTTTTTTTCCTTTATCTAGATCATAGTTTTTTTCACAAGACATTAGTGGTACGTGAAGGAGACATCACCTTCACTCCTATTACCCTCCCCTCCCATTTGCATTCCAGTTCTGATTTTGACAGTCTTCATTGTCCTGTTTGTGCTCTGCATTGTTATTTTGCCTGCACTGCTTCCTTCTGTGGATCCCATTCCCATCTTTTTATACTATGAAATACTTCTTGTAACTGTGATCTTTCTCCTGTCACCCTTACTGGATGGATTCACCAACTTATTCATCTTGCTTATGTGTCATTATCCAAAAATTCTTGTTGCATTTTCCAAGTCGTCTCCCACCAGATATGTGATCTCACCTTTTCCTTGGCTGCCCACTTCTGTCATCCATTAGAAGACATTGTGAAGGCTAGCATGTGGACCACAACTCGCATATTTATAGCCCAGTACCTTATCATTTGGCTGTCTCCTTATCTGGCTATCATTTGCCACCCATTGCCATTCTCCATATGTCATTTTGATTCTGTAAGGATAGGTTTTGTTTTACCTCTTCCCTTTCCAGTGGCCCTTTCTCCTTTCCTATATCCCTCTCTGTGGCAGTGGTGCCTGTCCAGGTATACTTAAATGTAAATCCATACCATATGACTACAGGTCTATAATGCTTACTGATGAGGTGGGTTATTCCACGAGACCTCTGAAGGTTGCCTTGTGGTATCTTGCTTCATAAATACAGTCCAAACCAGATCTCACCAACTTGTGGAATATCATGAGTAAAGCAGAGGTGGGATTGCTGTCTATCCCTCTGGTCCTAGTTGAATACACTGGGACCAGCCTGCTTTTCAAAATAGAGTTTTGTGGTTATCCATTGCACTGTCTTACAGTATTATATTCCTCTAGACTCCATACTGCATTGCCCCCTCCTCTCCCAGTGGAGAATAATAGTTTTTGCCACTTACCAGTTCCTAACCACTGGGGTGGTGGACCTTGGAGGCTTCCTCCTGATTGTGACTGATTCTACTCAGTCAAGAGTAGGGTGGTGGTGGTGTTCTATTGGGATAGATGGTGAGTACTGTCCTACTATGGATCAGAAGAAAAAGTCCCTATGCTGCCTGGTTTTGGACTGGACAAATCCACCACATGCAGCTCATCTCCATCCTACCACCAATTGGGTCTTTGTTCGTACAAAGTCTGGTGTTGGATCAATACAAGACCAGCCAACATAAGTCCTCACACGTGGTTGGTAGGGAAGTTCCTCCTACTGTGGACTGGGTGATAAATCTTGACTGGCTTAACCCATCATGTTTTATGCTTCTTTCTATCATTCCCTGGATATTGGGTTTCCGGGAAGCCTTTTGTTGGTTGTGTACTAGATATGCACACATGTACCCTGCCTGGGTTTTCAGAATGGAAGTTGTTTTTCTCTTCCTGATATTGGGGTGAAGATGGCTGGGACCCTCCTCCTACCATGGAATGGAAGATAAATACCTGATATCGCCCGGTTTTAAATCAGAGTTGACCCACCAAATAAGGTCTAATGTGCCTCAGCCACTCTACATCATCTGGCATGTCTAGTTAAATATTGGACATACACCTTTGCCACCCAATTTAGTGGGACGTACCTTTACAACAGGCAAAGAGTATACCTGATGCAGATGAGGTGCGGTCTCCCAAAGGTGTGACCCTTTACATTAGGGTATCACACTGTATGGGCTCTCTCTTTGGGTGCTCCTCTTGGTAACTTTTACAATGGTCCCTTTACCATTTTAGTGTGAAATTCTAGCTGTTATGTGTGAAAAGATAAGGTATCATATAGGAAACTAACATGTTCCCACACAGAAAATGAATTTCTGATACATACTTACCTCTTTCACACTTCCCACCAATTCTTCCCATTTTTGGTGCATCTTTTGTGCCTAATCTCGAAGTGATGATAGTACTCGTCAGTATAGAAACGAGTAAGTTGTTCTAGGAGTGTTTATCGCACTCCTGTTGGTGCAGGGTTGTCACATGCTTATTTGCTTGCTACTGTTAAGCTATTCCATGGGAAATTATATGAGGATAGGTGGAAACATCAAGGCTTGTGGTGAGAAAAAATTGCACATCTAAAGGGCAGCACTAGTTGAGAATAGCTATTATGCGAGAGGTGTGTATCAGAAATATACTCTTAGTGTAGGAAAATGTTAACATTTGGGGTCAGTTTTGTGAATAGTAGAAAGGTTCAGTGCTGTCAAGTCACCATGAATACAATGGTAACTTTCCATTCACACGACCGCATTGCTATGGCCTGGTTAACTGTCAGAAAAAGGCTACTAATTCTCTCATCTCTGTTGGTAGTACTCATTTGTAGGTCAAGTTTCAGGTTAAAAATTCTAAACCTCTCACCACTTCTAACTTTGTTTCTTTGATCAAAAAACAAATGTCAAACTTCATCCATTTTGGACCATATTTAGAGGTTGCTCATTGAGGTCAAAATTCTAGATTGCAGTGGCCTAGTATTGTATGTACTATGTGATATATAAAAAAAGCATTTGTTGTGTATTATTAATAATTTACTTAAAGTATATTATTATTTTGTGGCACTTACAATAGTAGAATTACATAATTATTCAGCTGTTCTTAGGTTTTAACTGATATTATTTCAAGAAGGATGAAAGAAAAACAGTAAATGATGGTAGTCTAATTATTCTAAAGTCAAATAAATGCTTTTCACAAAGAGTCAAACTTGTATATTATGTATTCTAAGGCAAAACATTTAATTTTTAGGCATTTATACAAGCTTGAAATACAAAATTGTGGATATTTATATATAATATATATATTAATTTTTTCATACAAAGATGAAAGTAAGCTTTAGTGTGTGTAAGCTTTAACATTACAAATATATAATAAATAATATGTTACTTTTCTTTATAGACAAAGGCATACATATGAAGTGGATGTTTATTATTTGGTTATTGGTACCTATGGTTATTCAGGGGCAACAAGATCTCATAGCACAAGAAGAGAGAGGGCATTCTAATGGAAGTATGATAATGCCTCAAAGTAATATGTAAGTGTTGAAATATATTCTGAAAAATTCATCTTTTATGGGTATAATTTCCCCAGTATTTTAACGTAGTATAAGTTCACATAATAAAAATAATAACTAATGATAATCATAAGTAATCACAACATTGAATTCAGTTGCAATTTTATGACCTGATAGTTTTAATGTGGTACTTCTGTGGTGGGATGAACAATTTAATATCAAAATTTAAAGCACACTTAGCTTAGATCTCTCCCCACTTATTGTCATCCAAAGATAAGAATATCACATCCATATATTCTAGTTCTTTAGATAACTATTAAGTAAACTTCTATCAAAACAGTTAATTTCTTACATGAACATCTGATTATCCAGTATCCTAAAATTTCTACTAAACTTACTTTTATGATCCCTGAATTTTTTGTAATGTTAATTTTATGTAAGCTCCACAAAAGCTTCAATAATAAACTTACAGTATTCATATACAGTGTATATTATCTTGCATTAACTTTCTTATTATGACTTTTTATCAGACTGATATGTAATTGATATTTAATAGAACACATGAAAAGTTGTATACATAGACCTATTAGTGCATGCATTGCGTGGTTAAGTCAGCTGTGCATAACATAAGCATTTACTCTGTTAATCTGGTGGTTTTATTGACAGTTTGTCACAAGTGTAAGCTTATTAATATTTTATTTTATACAATAGTCATGTCACATCCTTTACCTCATATTAAAATTTAAGATTTTAATTGTAAGTGTAATATAACTGTATATTTTGTGTCAATTTCTCAAATGTTTAATTACTATAAATGTTAGTTTTTAAAAAGAAAATATATAACAGTGACAAATTCCAATATGATTGCTTACCTCTTCTCAAAGTTACAGCTATTCATGATTTGATTGCCCTCTAGTGTGCAAATTTTCACTTGCCAATAGTCTTGAAACTCCTACCTAATTCCACATGTAAACCATGCAGTTCAACTACATTTAAGCATGCAAATTAGCATGCCACAACCCTCCATCAAAAGGAGTGTGAAACACCCTCGTATTGCAGCTGACTCCCTCTATGTAGTTGAACCCAATCTTCACTTCTCAATTTGGCATGACAGTGTTTAGACCTTGTGCCCGATTTCACACATTTTTTTCTTTAGTGCATTTTGAAAATATTCAAATTGTGATTTTTGCATTTCAAAGTATTGTTTATAATTCACTAACGAGTTGGATTTCTTTATTTTATTGTGAATTCTGTTTCTCACTCACTTACCGGTATTCAGTCAATATTTATTAATTCATAATTTAAAATTAAGACTACAATGGCTACTGACTGTACTGGCATTCAACAATCTGTGACAACAGGTGCGATGTTATCAGCCATAGTTTGTTGTGAGATGGCTTCTTTCAGGCAGGCCTAGGGATCTTCTGATCTACAAGCAATTCTGCCATTACCTGAGGACTTAGATCAGGACGCTGCAGATTTGGACCCCCCCCCCTCCTCTTCCTTTACTGTGTAGGCACGTTCTCAGTCTGTTGAAGCACCTAGACCTCAGTCACCATTTTTAGACTTGATATCCCATGTATGTTGTGTTTTGTTTTGTCATTTGATCCCTCCCCTTCCTTATTAACTGCAGCATCTAGTTCTGAGTTTTGTTTTCTCCCCCTTTGTGGGATATTGGGCTCCATGCCAATTGTTTTTCAGGTCAATTACATGCAGGTGTTAGTATTCTGTGCCCCTACATACTGCAGAGACTCGTGTATTTGCATATCATTGTTCAGCAAACTCATAGGTCATTCTAGTTTTGTCAGAAGGACTCTCCCTCCTTTCTGCCTTATCCTCTGTCCCAGTTCCTTCCCCCCTAAAGATCCAGTTTCCTGCCAGCACCTCACAGAAGTGGTTCAAGACCTTCTCATCAATGGTACAATCAAACAGGTTTCTCCTTTACTTCCAGGATTCTGTTCCTCACTTTTGTCATTTCCAAAGAAGGCGGGTATGTGAATCCTGTTTTTGATCTCTCCCATTGGAGTTACTGCCTTAATGTGCCTCGGTCACCATGGAATCCTACCTGTTTCTCAGATGGGCCTTTCCTCCAGTGCTTTGGATGATGAGATTCAATGTGTCTGATGCTTATCTTCACATCCTTATTGCTTGGGCTTCATGTCGTTATTTATGTTTTGTCCATGAGTATCACATTTATCATTTTCAAGGTCTTCCTTTTGAGCTGACATTTACACTTTATGCTTTCTGTTAAGTGGTTCAGTCATTTGCTTGATTCCTATATTTTTGTGGACTCAATTTCCATCTTTACATGAATGACTGGCTTCTCTTGACTCCATCCTTTGCAGAATCCTCCTCACTCACCTAACTTCTTCTCAGAGAAGCTGCTCAGGTGGGTTGGTTTATCAAGTTGGAGAAGTCCGTTATCCACCCCACTCAGTATCTTGTTCATATGGGGGTTGTTTTTCAACTCACATCTCAGTTGAGCCCATCCTTCTTCTCTTTGTTTGTGATCCATGGAGTTTTTAGTTCAGAGGGCACTATCAGCACCTTCTCTCCCCGCATGAAAGGTTCTCCAACTTTTGGGGACTTGGGCATCACTGGAGGCTCTTATCCTTCTGGGCCATGCCCATCTGCTTTCCTTGCAGTGGATACTACAAGATGAATGGCACCTCATCATGGACCCTCTTCATTTAAAGATATCCTTTCTTGCTTCCTGTCAGTCCAACTTCCTTTGTTGGTTAGACAGGGAGAACATGACAGTGGGGATACCTATTTCTCTTCCTTGTCCAGATATCCACTTATTCACAAATGCCTCACTGTCGGCATGGTATGCATGCTGCAATACACAAAAGATCTTGGACCATTCATCTCAGAAGGAGTTAGGTCCTTGCTGTTTTTTGGGTGATGGTTCATTTTCTGCACTTACATCTTACATTGCACTATAGATCTTCTATTCTGGGCTCACAGCCATCAAATTCGTATGATGGCTTGTCACATACCAGATGCCCTCAATCTTGTTGCGGATCGTTTGTCCTGTCCCGACATGATCCTACCCACAAAGTAGTCTCTTGACTCCAGATATTCTGATGGCCGTGTTCTCAGATTCTCCCCAACTGGATGCATTTGACACTCATTTGAATACCTAATTTTCTCTCTTTTGGTCTCCAGTTCTACATCATTTGCCTGTGGATGTGTTCAAGCAAGATTGGAAGGACCTTTTCCTTTATACATACTCTCCCATCCATCTTCTCCCCCAAGTAATTTCTCTCATCCAATCTACTTCGTGTGAGGTCCTTCTTGTGGCTCTTTTCTGACTTGATCAGCCATGGTTTTTGACCCTGTCCCTTCTACAGGAATAACCTCCATTACCTTTCCCTTTCTCCCAGTGCTTTCTTTGGCAACCTATCTCAGGGGTGATTCTGGCATGGCTTTTTTCCAGTCTCTTGCAAGGGTTCAGGACTATCCACACGTGCAGTGCCCTTGTTGTCTCACACTGTCCATTCTTCATCTATGTCTGTGTATCAACGTAAGTGGAGAATATTCCATCATTGGTCTACTAGCTTGGATTCTCCCCTTCATCAGGTACATGATTTTTTACTTGATTGTTTGATAATGGTCTGCCCTTTTCAACCATTGCAGGTAATATGGCATATACCTTTCATTTTCCCATTTTTGCCTTGTGTTATTTCCATTCCTTTCATATTCCATATTTACTTCCAGTCTGGTCAATCATCTCCTGTGTCAGGTATGTGCTTTATGGTGTTGTGTATCATGCACAGCACCCTTATGTGGCTCTCACTCTTATTTGATTATCCATTGGAATCCATCCATTGCTTTTGATATTTCTCCTATCACCCTTACCAGTTGGATTTGTCAGGTTATTCATATTGCATATTCCTCCCTTTCTCCTGAATCTTGTCAAATGTTCTGTGTGGTTGCTCATTTCCATCCTCTTTTGGAGGATATTACCCAGGCTGGCATGTGGACTACTCCCCACACTTTTGAGTTGCACTACTTACACCATTTGGCAATTTCCTGCTCAACTGGATATCATCTTCTCCCTATAGCCATTCTCCATATATCGGTACAACTCTGACTGGGTAAGTTATTTTATTTCAATTCTCCATATTTTTTTCAGGTACCTCTTACATGTTATGGATCCTGCTCTGAAGTGAGTGGTGCCTGTCCAGGTTTACTGATATCCAAAATCCGCATCATAAGAACTTTAAGGTTTATTGCCCTCACTGTTGAGATGGAGTGTTCCACAAGACCGCTTGCAAGTTTTTTCTTTTGCATATTGCATCATAAATATATTTGTACCTGACCATACACTCATGGACTAACATGAGTAAAGAAGAAAGGGATTGCTGTCCATCTCTAACATTCCTTAGATTGCTGAATCAGGAATGGTCTACTTTTCAAAATAGGGTTTCATGGTCACCCATTGTACTTTCTCTGGTGATGCATTTCTCCAGACTCTCCAACGAGTTTTTTTCCCTAGCCGCTGAGGTGGTGGATCATGGAGGAATCCTCCTGAGCATGCACAATTCCACTCAGTCAAGAGTAGGGTGGTGGTGTTCTGCCTGTGTAGAAGGCTTGATTATCCCCATGCTGTGGGTCTGATGTTTTATTCCGGATGCCGCTGGTTTGGACGTGATTCTTCCATCTATTTTGCAGTTCACCCCTCCAGCTGGGAACCATCTATCCTACTGCCACCTGGATGTTGGTTCCTAGGCAACTGCTTTTAGTTGGAGCTGGACCAGCCAACATAAGGCCAAACATGTGAGTGTTCTTGGAACTTCCTCCAACCATGGACTGAATGTTACATCCCCAATGTTGATTGGTTTTGGACTGGAATTTGACTCTACACATTGCATTTCCACCTTCATGATATTGTCTGGATGTACACTCCTTAGGTCTACGTTGCAGATTGTACTTAATTTGTGCACATGATGATTTAGATTATCAGAATAGAAGCTCCTCTTCCCTTCTGGTTCCTAGACCTGAGGTGAATGACTGAGGACCTTCCTACTGCCACAGACTGTCAAGTTCCCCACAGTTGCACTGGTCTGATGTGCCATAGCCATTCTGCACACTTTTCTTTTCCTTAGAGATTTGGAATTGTTACCTAGTTCTGCCCTTTGAGTGTGTTTCCTCTCCATAGATGTGGCACACTCTATGTGTGCTCTTCAGAAGCTTTTGAAGAGTGCTCATCTAGGTAGTTTTACACTGGTCCCACCACCTGTTCAATGTGGAATTTCAGCTGTAACTGTGAGAGGAGGTAAGTACTTGTAAGTACTAATATTCCAAAACACCATCTGCTGACACAATAGCTATTCGTCGACCTTCACTTTGCCCATCTAAGCATTAGTCTTGCTTGCTCCAGTCTTTTATACCCCACTTAAATGCCCTTGGCTATATTTGATTTTGCGATGCTCTCTACCCACAACAATGCACCCTCTGTCCTGGTACAATATATAAGCACCTCACTCAGATAATGTAATCACTTTTTCTCAACAAAGCATTGGTCATGGTTTTCGCTGACGAATTGCTGTGCTTCGTTAGGTTCTGGATTGCGATTTGGGCATTGCCTTGTGGATTTCTGTACAATTATAATTTCCTTTAAAAAATTATGTTTGGAAGTTAACATTTTCCTAAATTTAGAATGTATTTCCTATAATATATTTACCTCCTCTGACACATTCCTGCCCTTCCTCCCCACTAAGAGCTGGTGTTAATGACTGGGATGGCGTAAGTTTTGAAAAAGTGAATATATTATCTGAGTGAGGTGCTTATATACAGTACCAGAATAGTGGGTGCATTGACGTGGGTGGAGAGTGTTGCAAAATCAAATATCAACAAGAGCGTTTAAGGGGAGGGGGGTATAAAAGACAAGCAAGTGAGACCAATGCTTAGATGGGCAAAGTGAAGGTTGAGGAATAGCTGTTGTGTCAGTAGAGGTAAGTATTATTGGAAATACATTTTCAATTTAGGAAAAATGTAAACTTTTCCTACACTGAAAATGTATATTTCCAATGAATACTTACCTCCCATCTTCCCCACTTTTGGTGTCATTTTTCATACCTAATCTCAAAGTGAAGATTGGGTTCAACTGCATAGAGGAAGTCAGCTGCAGTAGGAGGATTTGTTGCACTCGTATTGGTGAAGGACTGTTGCATGCTTAAATGTAGTTGAACTACATGGTTTACATGTGGAATTAGGTGGGAGTTTCAAGGCTATTGTTGAGTGAAACTTACACACTAGAGGGCAGTCAAATTGAGAATAGATGTAACTGTGAGACTAGGTAAGTATCTATTGGAAATATGTTTTCAGTGTAGGAAAATATTAACATCATGAGCTGTTAACGTATGTATCAATTAATAAGGGTAAAAGAATAATGAGAACTTGCAAAAAAAAGAACTTTTATAAATCATTATAGTAAGTTTCTTGTGTGATTAAATACAAAAACTTTTTTACCACTTGAAATATACCAACTTTACTATAACACTATGTTCTTAATTTTTATTTCAGTCATAATTTTAAAATATTCTGTGTAATACAAAAAATATAATCAAGTAATTCTTATGATATTTTATGCATTTCAAAAACATTTAAGCTCTTTTTTATGAGTCATTCAAATACCAGATAAAAAATTAATTTTTATCTTTTTTGTTTTATAGCTGGTATGATTTTTTTGTCATTAGCTGATTCTTAACAATATTTACGAAAAAGTGTATATTTTTCTTGTCTTGTTAAAAGCATTCATATGACAATAACTTCCCAGTTTATACATTTTGAATCATAATTTTTGGTTTAGCTCTCTCTTTTGTTTTTCTTTCTCTACCTGTTTGTCATGTATAACAATTACTTATATTATCAAGTTTATTAAGGTTTTGTTATGTGATATCTAACATTCTCTTAGTAGCTTTTAAATTTTGTTTAACATAAGTCATATATAGTTAATTTGTAAACTTGTGTTACAAATATAGATGATTAAAGGTAGAGCTGGGTAATTAGTGGTATTTGCTATTCATTTAATCAGTAGGCTTGTTAATCAATTACATTCAATTAATTGATTAGTGCAGTGTTTCTGAAACCAGAGTACACATTTTTTTGTATGAGCAAAAGAAAACATAATGTTAAAAACAGTAAATTTACACTTTACATTAACACAAGTAGCTATAGAGTTGATGGTGAATGCTGCCTGTTGCCTTTCCTCTAGTTAGCAGTTCAAAATTAGTGGCAGTGACAGATAGCATTAGTAGTTTTGTCATAACAAAGAAAAGGCAAGCAAGTTAGGTAGCAATGGGAATCAGACTCAAGAACTTAAAATCATTATGTAGTTTTGTGCTTAACAACAAACATAATGATAATATGTCAGTTACTTAGATAGTTCAAATAATCTGAGCAATAATTAGAAACACTAATTTTGATTAATTGATTATTTTCTTGACATAAATTGATTAATTTCTATTTTCAATTATTCAGTTTATTTATCACTAAGTAATTAAAGTGCCCAGCTGTATTTAGAGGACAATAAACCTCTTTTTGTTTATGGTTTGATGTTTAGGGCAAATTCTGTGTTAGTATTGATTATTATAATTAAAATGATTTAATTTATTAATTTTAGAGAATGAAAAGCTATAATTTGTGTTATCATAGATTTTTTTGCTGCTACTGATTTGTTTTTTTATTCCACATTATATTAATTTAACTACTAATTTTTAGGACTGAACTAAGCAATAAATCTGAAATAACCAATGGTACTACTCTCTCAACCACTGAGACATCTTCAACTGTGTTGACAGATTCTGTTTTACCACAGAAAGGAGCAGCAGAGGCAGAACATCACTCAAGCATGAGTATTTTCTTTGTTTTAAGTGTCATTGGTAAGTAATTTTTAATTTAAAAGAACAGTAGTTCAAGTTCTCTCTGTATTTAAAGACACAGGGTCACCTTGAACACTGAAATTATATCACAGGTTAACTGTAATTTAGTTTTAAATTATTTTTCTTTTAATTTCAACAGCCATTATAAATAACTTACAATAAAATAGTTGCATGATTTTGGCACTGTATGTTAGGTTGCTACTGTTTATGCTCTTCTGTATTTAACCATTTCTTTTGAGTCACAATTTACCAACTCTTGTCAAGTCTAAAACACCCATATTCATCCAGCCTATGCTATCTTTGGCTTTGTCTAATTTCAAGCAGTGGAAGCTTCTTCCCCTCATTATCATTTCTTTCACACTCACGTGGTTTGACAGAGTGTATTGTAATTCTAGTTTTGAATCAAATTTTGATTAAAACAAATGTTTTATTACTTAACTTATAAATTGTAAAAGCTACTAGCCAGCAAATTTTCTGTATATATCTCATATGTGAGAGAAGGCAGCACTTTACAGAGTCATTCAGAAATATTGGGATAAATAGGCATTCATTTTCAAAACTATCATCAGAACTTTGATGTTCACCTTGATTTGTTACTCCAGCACTCGGACTCAGTCATATGCTGGTACAAATTGACAGTAAATGTTAAACCAGTAATGATAATGATAAGGGATGACTGTAAAATTTAAATACATTAGTTTCCATCGGAAACACTGATGGGCACAGTATTGTTAAATGGTAATGAGGAGACTAGGACATCAGTATTTGAAACACCATATGTTTAGTGATAGCCCACTGTCATAGGTACAAATTGAACTAATTCATTAAATTTTCTTTCTCTCTTTGCAATTTTGAGTGTTGGTTACAACAAGGATGGGAATTAACTACTACTTGAACCTTGATTTTCACAATTGGTTTGCATGGTGACCTACTTCTCATTATGCAAAACAAGTAAACTTGTTTGTTGTATTCTCTGAAAAAACCCAAGCAGAAAAGTTTACTGTAGGGGATTTTTTTTTTGTTAGTTTCTTTAGAACTGTAAGTTATAACATGTACAAATATGAATGGAAAAAAACAGCAGGAGAAATGTTTATAAAACTTAACTTTCTTTCACAAATACAATGGCATGGAACAAGGCTATCAGTTACACTCTGGACATTATTCATCCTTCTAAAGGTATCTGATGACTTAAATCCTTTAATGCGAACATTCCCTACACCATCACATTACCTTTAGCATCTTGTACTGTTGGAGTTGGCACAAGTATAGTTAAATGCTGTATATTTTGTTTTATTATGAATATAGGAGAGGTTTTGCACATCTCACCAGACTGTAACACATGCTTCCAGTCATTCATTTTCCACAGCTTGCATTCAAAACACCATTGAAGTTGTACATCTTTGATAAGTAGTATTCAACTGTCAAATGGCAATTTACAATTGTAATTTCTTCTTGATCAGTCACTAAAAGTTAACAGCCATAGTTTTTCTTAGTTGTAAATGTAGTTTTTTTTGGTTGCCACTGTTAATAGACTCTGACAAATGACTTCGAACATCTTGTACAAGAAATGGTATGTTGCTGCTACTTGATGATGACACATTATTATTTCTTTTTAATCTTCGCCATCATAATGCAGGCTAACCATTTTATGACTATGCCTTCACTTTATAAAGTTCAAATAATCTCTTCACACATGACATCAACAGTGTGTATACTTGTAACTTTTTTTTGTATCACAGTGTCAGGGTTTTAGTATATGGGCTTGGATTCTTTACAGTAGCTGTCTGTAACCTGTTGGTGATAAATTAGAACAATAAACAGACAGCACACAATTCACTTGTTTTAAAATAATATATTCCAAATAAGTCAAATGTATGTACAAAAATTATTTACACAATAGGATATCATAGTTGTATCTAAAACTCTAAATAATTCTCTTTTCTTGTCAGAAGTCCATGCAGGCTGTTTCAATTACTTTAGAATCCAATTGACAAGACGAATTATTTTTCTCTGTTCTGTTTCTTACACAATCTGTGATAAATTCACTTACATTACCTTGTGGCTTACCACAGTCGTATCTAGAACATTAAATAATTGTCTCCTTCTTGTCAAAGTCCACACAGATGGGTTCAATTATCTTAGAACATCCTTTGACAAGTCAAGTTATTCTCCTTTTTCTGTTAAACTGTGAAACTCGCTTTAAAATATTGCATGTTATGGCTAAACTAACAATCAAGTAGTCTAACTTCACTTTTACAAACTTAATGTTTTCTGACTTAACTTTTTCTTAACTTCTTTTATTTGTTACTACAATTGTATCCAGAGCTTTTAAGTAATTGTCTTCTTTTTGTCAGAAAAATTATTGTTATGATCTATGAGAAGTGAAAAAAATACATTACACTTTCTATCATGAGAGTGACACATGCTTCATTTGTTTAAACATTTTACATTATAAACCTGACTTCTTATGAATGATTGATGTAAATTTAGTGCTTTATGGAGGAGATCCAATTTTTGATAGTGCTTGTATAAAAGGTTTATGAAATTATATTTGAATTAGTTCAGTGATTCTGTGCATTCTACAAGTATCATAATTAATATATGTAATGTTGTAACTAAGACTGGGTTTTGTAAAATCCACACAGCCTGCTTATTTCTAATATCGAATAAAATGCATCATCTACAGCAGCTTATTTGAAACTCTATTATGCATTTGTATGGCTGAAAACTTATGTTGAGTTATACATATACAAATATATGTATATATTTGTACTATAGGTTTGCTACCTTAAAAGGGATTACACTTTACCAGATGTGGAGCTACATTGTTCATAAGTAGTATGGAGATAAAACTTATTAATATCTGCAAGGTTAAAAAATCATTCCTTTGTACAAATCAAACATATTTCTAACTCAAAATAACTGGAAGATAATAGGCATGCTATGTTTTCTTTCATTTTGAATGAACAAATAATCATGATTTCACTACATAAAGACCAAGTCACAAAATCTACTAATGTTATAGTTGTCTCAATTGCAAAATGTTCTGTCACCAACACAAGTGAAAACAATGGGTCTGTTGTGTTTCTCACTTGGTGTGGTGTTGATTATTCTAGCAATGTTGTTTCTCAAATGAGAAAAACAAATGTTTTTGAATACAGAGGGTTGAGTATACTATATTAAAATAATTTTGAATATGCAAATCAACAAGTCATGTGACAACCACAAACGATGCATCAGAAATACATTTTGATATTACTAGGCATGATGTAAGTAGAATGATGGCACTGAAAATTGATAATTTTTGTGTAGGTTTCCAACTTCCCTTTCCTACATAAAATACTCATTCACTCAGATCATAAAAATGTGTTCAGTTCAGGGACTTAGAATTTCAAGGATTTAGGATATCCCTTTTACTTAATGGCATTAGAAAACAAATGAATATTGGTCACTTAAGGCACTATAACCATCCAGAAAGAGACCTGCAACATGTCATACTCCAGCCATGGTAAGCAAAGTGCAATGCCTTGTAACAGGTTAGAATCCATGAACAAAAGGTAAGTAGCAGAAGCCACCCACTTGCTCCAAGCAGTAGTATGCAATATAATCAAGAAAGATAAATCGGTGAAAAAAATATCCATAAATATTACATAGCATGTTATGAAACTCTCAAAAGGATTCACAATTACTGCTGGATGCTGTATCAGGGGAAAGTGAATGATCAGGAAGATAGATACTAAGGACAAGGTCAACTTTGTTTACTGTCAGACCAATGCTATGAATCCCGGGTACCATAAAGACATACCAATTTTGTATGGATATAAGGCCAACTGGTAAGGGTTTACCAAGATAAGGCTTCCAATGATACCTCCCATTCGACTGTTACATATCTTAAGCAGCTGGAGAATGAAATGAATATTCATGTTATTCCATATGATACTTACCAGTCAAGTTGCCAGACACTTCACTTTTGTATTTCTGTGCACTCAAACTGTTGAAATTGGCATTGGGAAACTAGATGGATTATGGCAAGTGTGTAAGGAGGAATGGTGAGTTTTTGATGTGGAAGTCTTACAACATAGATTTTTGCAATGGATTATGGCAAGTGTGTAAGGAGGAATGGTGAGTTTTTGATGTGGAGGTCTTACAACAGAGATTTTTGCAATGGATTATGGCAAGTGTGTAAGGAGGAATGGTGAGTTTTTGATGTGGAAGTCTTACAACAGAGATTTTTGCAATGGAAGCTATGCTGCCAGGGTTATTGCCAAGAAACGTGGCTGTCAGATAGAACATGATTAGACATGGTGACATGGATTGTAATGATATGGTGAGGCTTCAAAATCATATTAACCCTCTATATACCAACCTTGCAATTACCATGTAGCCATGAGCTATATATGCTATAACGTTTAATGTAGTAAGTGTATCTACACAAATTTTGGAAAGCTTTTAGTAAATATTACTTGTCTTTTGTACAAAAAGGATCAAATTTTTTCATTTAGTATTTTTACTGAAGAAATTTTTTGTGAATCTATAGAGTCAGAGTTTGATTCAGACCCTGACCAGTCTGAGTGTAAGATTATATTTATTTTAAAATTAAAGATACTTTTTTTCACCTTACAGTTTTCAGTTTCATTATCTGAACCTTCTAAATGAATATGAAAAATTCTTTTCAGTGAAACTTTTAATTTTTTTATTTTCTCTACCCCAACACTATGTGGGCTTGGTTCATTTCGCTGACCACAAAAAGATACAAAATAAATATAAATTACCCCCCTTTTTTTCTTCCTAGATTGGCTACAGATTGTAATAGAAAATTACAATTATTTATCATAAATATCTCTTAACAGTTTAAGAACTGTTTTATCTAATTTTATTGTTTTATTGCTCTTTGAACCATGTCTAATTACTAATCATGTGTAACAAAGTTATAAACACCTAGTGAGCAATTAGCTCAAGTTATGGTTAAACAAATTACATGCTTGAGTGCATGACTTGCT